CAGAGATGCCCAACACCTGGTTTGGGGACCGGTGCAGGGCATCTCTGATTCATCAAAATTCATCAAAAAAAGTTCATCAAAAAGTTGCTGGTGATGTCACTTCATGGAGACTTGGGTGAAGTGATGACACAGGAGCCTTTACCATGACAACAGAGCAAACTAATTAGTGAAGGAAGTGAGATAAGACTGAGAAATACTCAGTTTGGGGTTTTTTTTTTTAAGCGAAGGTCACTGTCAAAGATGATTTCACTGTTAAAAATAAAATTACTTTCACTTTGGGTTCAATACAGGGGCAACAAACCTGCACCCACTCTACACTTGATGATGATGATGATGATGGAGTGAAGAAGGATTCCTATTGGTTAGCTGGTTTTGGCATTTATATTCTTTGGTTGTTTTTTTGTTTGTTTGGTTGGTTGGGTTTTTTTTTGGTTTAGGTTTTGTTTTGTTTTTTGCTTAAGTATTAACTCAAACTCCTGGGCCAGGGGCCATTTCTGGGCCACACACCCGTCTATCTGCCACTAGATGTCACTGAAAATTAAATTTTTACCATGATTTTTTTTTATGTTTTAGTTGGTTATTTAAGAAAGCAAAAAAGGGAATTGTACTGTAAAATTGGATTTAAAAAATTATACGTTTTTTTGTACTGACCAGTGAACACTGTTGTGTTTTGTTTGTTTTTTTACTTTTAAGACCCTCAAACTGATGGTTAATATTTCGGTTCATAACATTGACATTTGTAAGAAAACAATAAGTGTAAGGTACAAAATATGTGAATACAAATATGTTTTATTAAACAAAAAATGCACCTGTTTCCTCTAGACCCCGCTAGGGGACACAGACCCCCTGTTGAACACCACTGCCTAAATCAGAGGTGTCAAACTTATTCTGTTTCACGGGCCGCATACAACGTGATTAGATGCCAGGTGGGCCGCACCAGTACAAACGTAACATAATTAACTATAATTAACAATGTTTTTCCTCTGTGTTTTCATAAAAAGAAGTATACTGGTTATTTATTAATCTTAATTCATTTGTAACAAAATATAATTTTACAAAAAAAATTATGATCTAAACATGAAGTATTTTTTTTATTTTCAAAATTCATCAAGCGGGCCAGATTGAACTGCCTAGCGGGCCGGTTTTGGCCCCCGGGCCGTATGTTTGACACCCCTGGCCTAAATGGTTTAACATCGCTCAACTGACGGCTGTGATGACATGGTCTTCAGACAGTTCTGGGCACCTGTAAACCCAACTGGACTGGACTCGATCAACTAGGACATTTATTTTTTTATTTTTTAGCCTTAGCCTGAGGAGAAATCTCTGGCGACCTTCGAGACATTTTAGTGGCTGTCACTTGTGGACAGAGAAATAACCAGGGGAGTTGAACAGAGCAGCAGTCAGGTGGGCACCTCCGACAGACTGACAAATGAGCAGTGGGCCGACTTGAGCGCAGGGAGATGAGCTGTCACCGATACAGCTGGCTTCCCACACACTCTCACAAAACCACTGGCTTCTCGGGCTGTTTGTCAAAACAGAAATGTTTTGTTGACGCCGTGTGAAATATCTGTCATTAAAATGAAAAAAGAATAAAAAAAAGTTTCTGGATCTAAATCACTTCGTCAAAGGCACAAACCTGGAGACGAAGTCTACCTGATCATAATGCAGCAGAGCCACATCACTGTGACGGCTTCGGTGAGGCTCTTCTGCCCCCTTCTGGTTTCTTACTGCTATTGCAAAAACACTGAACGACACCGTGAACTATAAAATTGCGGTCCAACGCGCCACCTGGAGGAAGCGAGGAAGTGAAATTTTCATTTGTCTTTGGGGGGGAAAAGCACTACAAACATACGTCACAACAGTAGGACATTCTTGTTATACCTCCTAGGGGCCTTAAGGGGGCTCTGTTTGCCTTGTTTTATTGTTACAACGTTACAACACTGGTGTCCTGTTCTCTATTATAAAAGTATTTCTAGTAGATATATTTTCAAATATATGTTTTAATAAACAAATATACATTGCGTTATTTGCGTAATATACATCCACGTGTTTTTAATTTGATGAAAATTAAACCGAGGTCATTTAGTACAAACTGCTCGATTTTTGTTTTTTTTGTTTTTTCAAATAAAGACTTCACAAATATCTTAACTAGTCTGTTTACCTGTGTATTCTTGCATTATATGTTTAATAATCCAAAATCGAAACAGCAGTAGAGGAATTAATAAAATACTATATTTTTTATTCTATATTTTATGCAAAAATGTCTGTATAAGAGAGTTTTACGTCTCTGTAGTTTTACGACGGTGAAAAACAACCGAGTTTCAATGATATGAAATGCAGAGGAAGCCCGATTGCACCCTCTGCTGGGTAATAAAGGAACCCAATAACGTGTTTTTTGGGGTTTTTTTTTTTTTGGTTGTTTGTTTTTAACCAGACGACCACCCTGACCCAACCCAACGATTTAGCTGATGGCCCCCACATGAATGAGTAGGAGGACCAACCTGAGGTTAAATGTTAACCACGGGAACATCAGCATGCAGCCGTTTACGTTTCTTTTGGAAAGTAAGACCCTCTGGACACGCCGTAGACTGAACTGTTCATTTATTTTTATGTCACTCTAGTCAATATCTTATTGTACTAAAAAGATAAAGGAGTAAATGTGCAAAACTATATGTTTTTAAGACAATTTTATATCATAAAAAGTGATAATATAGGGGCATAATGTAAAGAACTAATATAACTTTATTAGTATAATGACTTTTTAGTTATTTTTGACATTTAAATTCTGCTGCATTTAAATAAATATTTAAAACAAACATGTTGTATGAAATAATCGTTCACTAAGGTGATGGGTTGGTGTGCTGTTGGTGTGCTGTGTCCCCATGATATGAAAATACAGGCTGGTGATCAGCCTGCTGGGCATTGCTGCCTGATGCACCTCCACCAGTGCCTTTGTGCTGGCGTGCTCATCTGAACACCTCCCTGGGCCCCACTAGTGCCTGAGTGTCACTAGTGGTGCCAACGTACCTCAAGGATGATTTCCTTGGTATGATCATGAGGTGAGGATTAGGGCTGTGGCAGGGGAATTATTGGGGGTCATCCTTATACCTAACTTGAGGGTAAGGGAAGGGCCTGAGGTAAGGGATGGGGTGGAATGGGGTGTCTTACTGGACTATGGCTTTTCCTGATTAGCTGGTTGTTTTCTTTTTATAAATTGACTATCTTATTGTAAGACACATTTTCAGTTCACTTTCACTTTCACTTTAACCTGAAATTACTTTATCTGGAAGGTTTAAAAAAATGACGTGGGTCTCACCGAGCTGGTGGGCCTTTTTCAGGCAGGACAGTGAGGCGTTGAGTCGAGCACACTCCTCCTCGTTGGCACCAAACTTCTGCAGCAGCTCACACACCTGCTCCTCATTCATGTCGAGCAGACCCTCCAGGGTCACCTCACCTGGATTCATCTCCTGCAGAACACATACAGCAGAGATTTAAATCATAGCACTATTAATCCGACAAATTGACCAATTACTGTAAATGTCAGTCATGGCCGACAAGTTGTGAAGTTATGAAGTATCGGCTTTAACTAGCTTAACCACTCCAGTTTAACCAGTTGTACATATTACTTCTATCATGTAATCCGTATTGATGGACAGGTTTAAGCAGTACAACAAATATTCTCTTTCTATTTTTCTTGTCATTCTTCCATATAATCATTAATTCCATCATTTGGATTAGTTTCAAATACAAACGTGTGAAACACAGACATCGATCTGTTGATATTTGTCTTTCTATCCCAGGAATATACAGTTTTTTTTGTCATTTTACGAAAGTGTTGATTAAGAACAATTAATTGTAATTTATTACAATCATTATTAATCGCAATTAAATTGCGATTTACCAGTGGTACACGAGAGCTCTCTAGTGGTACGCAGGGAAAAATCATATTTTCACATTTACATTTTTAATTGAATAAATCTGAAACACACCATGTACAATCAATACAACATTTAAACATCTTTATAAAAATATCTTTATAAATATTTATAAGCATCTCTCCTGTGTGGTGGAAGCTGATAGTGAAGGCCTATGCTGCTATATTCTAATGTTGGTCATCATGGTGGTACTCTAGAGTATAAGTCCCACCAGTGCCCTCTAGCGGCTATCAGTGTGAAAATAACGAACATAGAAATTTTCAGTGGTACAAGAGTACTAGATACTGATACAAAAGCCCAGAGTGCCCTCTAGTGGTTGTCAGTGTGAAAATAACGAACGTAAGTTTTCAGTGGTGAAAGAGTAGCCAATACTGGTACACAAACCTAGATTGCCCTGTATCGGCTGTAAGTGTGAAAATAACGAACATGTATATTTTCAGTGGTATAAGAGTACTAGATACTGATACAAAAGCCTAGAGTGCCCTCTAGCTGGTATCAGTGTGAAAATAACAAACGTAAATTTTCAGTGGTACAAGAGTAGCCGATACTGGTACACAAACCTAGAGTGCCCTCTAGTGGCTATCAGTGTGAAAATAAGACACATGTAAATCTTCAGTGGTACAGGAGTAGCAGAAGAAAACCACAACACCAAAGAAGTTCACGTCGCCCGGATTGATGTCACCGTGGCCCCACCCTGGAGCCAGGCCTTCAGGTCAGGGACAGGTGCCTCACTGTTGTTTCAGCCTACGGGCCGAATAACAGTGTAGAATACCTGGCCTTCTTGCAGGCACTGGGAGGAGTACGGGACAGTGCTTCTCCCGGGGAAACCATCGTCCTGTTGGGGGACTTCAAGGCCCACATGGGCAGAAAAAGTGACACCTGGAGGGCCGTGATCGGGAAGAACGGCCTCCGCGATCTAAATCCGAGTGTTGTTTTGTTATTGGACTTCTGTGCTAGTCACAGTTTGTCCATAACATGTACATTTTCAGTGGTACAGGAGTCGCAGATACTGGTACACAAGCCTAGAGTGCCCTCTAGTGCCTGTCAGTGTGAAAATAACAAACATGATGATGAGTAATCACATACCTGGCCAACAGATGAAAAAAAGTGTGACTTATAGTCCTAAAAATACGGTAATTGCAATTAAATCACGATGAATTGCGGTTAAATCATGATTAATCGTGACCAGATTTAAATGTCTGTTATTTGACAGTCCAAACATGAATATTTCCAACAACAAAATCTTACCTCTGTGACCTCTTTCCTCAAGTTGACAATTCGGAACCAGTGGCCAAGGCGAGGGAAGTCCTCCAGCTCAGCGCTGCGCTCCTCTAAGGCCACTTTGCACTTGCAGAACAGCTGGCGGCTGAAATACTTCACCAACTTCCCCTGAGAGGAGACGGACAAACAGAAGGAGCTCTTACTGCTTCAAATATTTTACTGGAGTTAAATCGTTTGTTGGGTACGTTTTTATTTCCCTGCAGTCTGCAGGAAAATGCAAAGTCATAGGATTCTCTAGGTAGCCTGAATAATCCATCCAGGGAGAAATAAACACAACATTTCATTTTCCATCTAATACTGCAGCTAAGATCACTTAACGGCTGTTTATTCCTGTGGGGCTGTTTGGTGGTGGCTAGTTGACAGATGTGGTCAGAGAAGTGTTCACTTCTCTGATTTCCTTGATAACAAATGCTAACATTGTGATAACTCTGATTATCACAGTTTGTTATCACAGAGACCATTAATCATAAGAGTCTGAGATAAATAATTTATTAAACAAACAAGTCTGTCTAATCTGTAGGTCGGGGGTCTGAATGTGGATGCACAGACATATGTTAAAAATTAACTATGAATTTGCAATCCTTTGTATCATTTTTACACAGATCATTCAGATTTTTTTACATACTTTTTTTTGTCTGTTATCTTCTTTTTTGAGGAACTCAATATAACAAAACAATCCAACGTAGACCAGGAAACAAGAAAAAACTGAGAGTAGTCGGAAACAGTCCTAAAGGCTCCTTTTTCAAACTGGGGGTATGCAGACCCCTAACGGTGCAGGCTGTACACACTGTTGCTTTTTGAAGTGTTTTGTTTTTGTGTTAAAACTGACTTATTTAAACAATTTCCTTTTGTGGAAAATATATAATGAGCTAACTATGACAATACATAAAAGAGTAAAAGTAAATAAAAAGAGGCAATTCAACAGTGTAGATTCAGGTGCTTTTAAGTGACAAAATTCATATTTTTCAATTTAACTTTGTGGTAAATAAAACAAACAATTATGCCATTTATTATATACCTAGTCCAAGCAGATTATTATGTATTGAGTTTATTTTAAATGGTTGACATTTGCTTTTCTTACTTTCTTACTTCTTACTTGCTTCTTGGATTTATTTTACTAATTTGCACTGTTTGTAATCTTTAGGTTACCCTGGAATCTATAAAAGAAAAAAAATTAAAGAGTCCATTTCCCACCAAAGTATGAAACACTATTGTAGGTACTACCACAGTCCTTTTAAGCACTCTAACTCATCAAAATTCCACTGCTTCCGGTAAATCCACATATGTCACGATCAGTGACCTCCGCAACCTTTAAATTGGGGGGTCAGCCCCATTTTCAGTCTCTCTGTTCAGGACTTTCTCTCTGTGGGACCCCTCATGAAAAGAGAAACCTGCTTTTCTCAGAAGAATAAGAACCAACGCGCTTTTGTAGACACCACTGCCCATGGTGATATATGCACTAGTAGCGTGTTTTTCTTAACTGAGTTAACCGGTAATTAAGTTACACAAGTAACGTAGTGCTGCGACCAATGCAGTTATTGGAAAGTTTAGAAGCGACAGGATTCCTTCTAAGAGTAATCGTGTGAACCGGCACATCAGACAATCAGAGACTTTTCCTCCCGAAGCGGACTTTCGGAATCAAGAAGACCCAAGAAGTGCGGACTTTCCACTATCCTCTAAATACGAGCAGACGTTCAGTAAGGCTGGCATTTGGGCACGTTAGTTAATCTGTCGTATTGTTAAGTGCTATATAAACTTAGGGACAGTTTAAGTACGCATGTTGAATTTTGTTGTCTGAAATCTGTGCTGCTTTTATAGCTAGGCTGTTGCATGCACTTCTTTTCTAACCTCCTGACTCGGTCTTACACTCTTGTACACCGTCAGTATTTCAGTGTTAACTTGTAACGTTATCAGTATTGGGATCAGGAAAACTCCGACAAAGTCCTTTGTCTGGAGTAGACCACGCGGTACGCCTCCCTTCCCCCATATACTTTGATAACATCACAAGCACTGTTTCATTGTACCTGAGCGCATCTTGGTGCGCGTACACAACACCCTTTCACACCTGCGTCAGCACATTCACGCCTCACGTGTTTCCTGTTGCCGTTCCTTCTACCTGTTCTTCATCTTCCACTGTGCAGTCGCGTACGTGAAATAACAAACATGTAAATCTTCAGTCTAGTGATGGGAAGACCGACTCTTTTTATTGATTCGAATCTTTGACTCTCGAACAGTAAAATGAACGAGTCGTGAACGAATCTTGAACTAATCATTTCATTCGTTTTACAGCAGGTGGCGCTTTAGCCCTATTGTGGGCGTTGTAAAGAAGGCTGCGGTTCTCCGACACTAAATACTGAAGGCAACATGGTTTGCTTCCGCTGACAAAGTCTACAAAGTACACAAAATGCCATAAGTAATTAAAACCATGCGAAAAGCTAAGAAATAAAAACACACCAACAATGTGAAGATGAATGAGAGCAAAACGGAACCGAGCGCTTTCACGTGACAAATTAAACGAATCTGCGGGAATGAAGCGAAAGATTAGTTCACAGAGAATGATCCGTTCATAGTGATTAGTTCACAGCAAAAGTTTAGTTCACAGGGAATGATTCGTTCAAAACGAAAGATTAGTTCACAGCAGAAGATAAGTTAACGGCGAAAGATTAGTTCACAGCAGAAGATAAGTTAACGGCGAAAGATTAGTTCACAGCAGAAGATAAGTTAACGGCGAAAGATTAGTTCACAGCAAAAGTTTAGTGCACAGGGAATGATTCGTTCAAAACGAAAGATTAGTTCACAGTGAGTTCAATATGTATAAATATTTAATATGACTCGGTAGTCACGCGTCACGAATCTTTCATATGACTCGGGAGTCACGACTCACATGAAAGATTCGTTCATTTTGAACGAATCACTCGCGAACGACACATCACTACTGTGAACTAATCTTTCGTTTTGAACGAATCATTCCCTGTGAACTAAACTTTTGCTGTGAACTAATCTTTCGCTGTGAACGTTATGGCATTTTGCGTACTTTGTAGACTTTGTCAGCGGAAGCAAACCATGTTGCCTTATTTAGTGTCGGAGAACCGCAGCCAGCCTTCTCGTTCTTACACTGTGAACTAGTGATGGGAAGACCGACTCTTTTTATTGATTCGAATCTTTGACTCTCGAACACTAAAATGAACGAGTCTTTAACTAATCATTTCATTCGTTTTACAGCAGGTGGCGCTTTAGCCCTATTGAGGGCGTTGTAAAGAAGGCTGCGGTTCTCCGACACTAAATAAGGCAACATGGTTTGCTTCCGCTGACAAAGTCTACAAAGTACACAAAATGCCATAAGTAATTAAAACCATGTGAAAAGCTAAGAAATAAAAACACACCACAATGTGAAGATGAATTAGAGCAAAAGACCCGAGCTCCCTGTCACGTGACAAATGAAACGAATCTGCGAGAACGAAGCGAAAGATTAGTTCACAGAGAATGATCCGTTCAGAGTGATTAGTTCAGAGCAAAAGATTAGTTCACGGTGAAAGATTAGTTCACAGAGAATGATCCGTTCAGAGTGATTAGTTCAGAGCAAAAGATTAGTTCACGGTGAAAGATTAGTTCACAGAGAATGATCCGTTCAGAGTGATTAGTTCAGAGCAAAAGATTAGTTCACGGTGAAAGATTAGTTCACAGAGAATGATTCGTTCACAAAGAGTGATTCGTTTGCAATGACAGATTAGTTCACAGTAAAATATTAGTTCACATTGAAAGATTAGTTCGCAGTGAGTGATTTGTGAGTGATTCGTGAGTTCAATATGAACAAATATTTAATATAACTCGGTAGTCACGAGTCATATGAACGACACATCACAGCGAAAGATTAGTTAACAGAGAATGATTCGTTCACAGCGAAAGATTAGTTCATGGAGAAATATTAGTTCAAAGCGAAAGATTCGTTTGCAATGAATGATTAGTTCACAGTAAAAGATTAGTTCACAGAGAATGATTCGTTTGCAATGAAAGATTAGTCCAGAGTGAAAGATTAGTTTGCAGAGTAATTAGATCGTAGTGAAAGATTACTTCACAGTGAATGATTAGTTTGCTATGATACATTAGTTCACAGTGAAATATTAGTTTGCAGAGAGTGATTAGTTCGCAGTGAGTGATTTGTATCACTACTTGGTAGCAAAGAGGCAACATCTCTCTTACAGACCACTCGTGTACGCATGCGCACACACACGCACCTACACACACTTATGCCTTGTTTTGTTGTTGTGATCATTGTTTATGAGTTCAATTACCGTCATTAACTTGACAGTGTTGTATTAACAAATTTGATTATTTTTGTAAACTGTGTTTGTCTGTGTTGTTACTTTATTCATTGAAGCCACCCAATTTGCCAAGAACTCAGATATTTAATTGTTATTGAATACTATTGATTGTAGCATATGTGTAATACTTCAAGTAATACATCATTGTTATATTAGTAGGATAACATAATAATTAAAAATAACTTTAATGAGACTGATCGTGTTATTAATTTGAGACTGGTTAATAACACCTAAGCAATACTCGACCCATTGCACCTACACAATTTAGCCAAACGTGAGAAAAAGTTGGTTTGGATAAAGTGATTGAAAACATTGACACAAGGTCAGTGTTTTCCTGGGTAGAAAGGTTGACTGGGTAGTCTGGGTAGACTGTTGTATTACTTAAAGAACGTACTTCAATATCAACAAAACTGCATTGGCTGTTGTGCTGCCAGTGCACATATATAATGCGAACATAACTGTATACGTGAGCTGCAGTGAGTCACACGTCTCACTCTGTGGTGTCTCTGTACGTGTCTGCAGCCCTGAGTACAAGAGCTCATCCATCATGTGTGTTGGTGATTCGAGTGTATTCAAGGGATACCACTGTCAATGCATATTTATGGAAAAACAGTATTCACATTAGGTCCATCCAGGTAATGATACAGGTTGCTATTCTGGGGTAGAGCTGTTGGGCTTAAGTGAGGTCAGTGCACAACGCCTTCAAAACAGATTATTCCTGAGGCACAATGAGGCTCCTTAAAGCTGATGATAAAGATGCAAAGCAGAAATGTCCCGGAAAAATGT